TGATTTCTAAGTTTGTAGTCCTCCAAGCAATGGAGAATGATTCAGACCATTCTGGAGGTTTAGCTCTTGTCCAGGCCCTGGGACCAATGCTGTTTTAAGTCTCTAGTGAAGATGCCTCAGTCTGGGTCCCCAGAACCTCTTACCCTAGACCCACTTATTTTTCCACCCCTACAACCTCTACTCTACCTCTGTGTCATGCTCTCCAATCCTAACCTCTGCGTCTGGACCTTTGTGTAGTATTATATCTGCAGTATTCCTTGTTTGCCAAAATCTCTGCCTATTGCTTGTTTCAGCCTGACTCTTGAACTCTGTCTCTGAGGACTAGCCCAGACCCCAAAGTCTGTACTTCATAATAATTCTTGATCAAAAAAGATACCTTCATAATGGCCTGGATTCAAGCCTCATTCAAAAATGCTTAACGTACACTATTGCTGCCCCCGTGTTAACCTTTACCTTTGTGTTCTGATTCAGTTGCTCCAAGTGTATATTTGACTCTTAAACAAAGGTATCCTCCTATTTTCCTCATAGTCTCTGTTCTCTGAGGAGTTTTTGGTTCATTGTGCACATTCTACCTATTCATAAACCTCAAACCAAAACTGGGACTCAAAAAGCTGAGGGATCTATTTTAGCACTTACCCTCCAACTCAGTTGCCCTTAACTTTGAATTTGTCCTTAGTTTGATCTTAACTCTGCAAAGTAAAATAAGTCAGACAAAGAAGGACAAATATCTCCTTATCTCTCTTTTATGCAAAATCTGAAAACCAAAACAAACAAAACAAAACCCAAAGTCATAGATACAAAGAATAGATTGGTGGTTGCCAGAGGGGAGGTGGTGAGGGGTCAGTTGGGAGGGTGAAATGGGTGAAGGGGATTAAGAAGTACAAACTTCCACCATGGCCCCTGAAACCTCTTCTTTTGGAGTTTCACTTCTGGCAGCTCTCTACCTTCTAAGGGTTGCTGTTTCCCAAAACACATGGCAAAAAGGGCCATGAACAACAGCTCCTGAGTACACAAATCCCCTCCGCAGAAGAGCAGCCAGATGGACACAGGCTGCCCTGGGGCGCAATTCCAAACCCTCCAAGGAAGGGCCGAATGGTGGAGCCTAGGTTGGATGCTCCCATACCCGCCAAGGGGCAGGGAACCCAACAGGGTGGGGCACAGCTGCAGTCAGGCATGGCGGCTGCAGGGGGTGGGGGCGCAGTTTCCCGAAGAAACAAGTAATGGGCAGGCAGTCCAATAATTAGAACATTGATGTTAGAGAAAGAGACTGCTTATTGAATTTGTCTCTTAAGAGATTCAATTTTTGGTCATGTTTAGGAATTATTTAATTATATCTTCTCTTGGAACAAATGATTATTTGCTATTGGCTTCCTGTGCTCTGGGCCCTAATGAGTGATCACCATCAAATGTCACAAAGCAAAAATCCAACAAGGCGATCGTTCCTTGAGAAAAATATTTCATTCCCTTCTTTGCTTTTGCTCATTGTTGTGGAAAGAATAATTTCCTTAAGTGACTTTACCCAGAATAAAAAAGATCTGCTTCCAGAAAAAAAAAAAAAAAAAAAAAAAAGAAGTACAAACTTCCAGATGTAAAATAAATAAGTCTACAAAATAAATAAATAAATAAATAAATAAGTCTGAGGGAATATAGTTAATAATACTGTATTAATTTTGTAAGAGGACTTATCGTTTGACAATTGTCATTGACTATTTTACAAGGACTATTTACATTGATTATTTTACATTGACTATTTTACAATATTTTACTATTTTACAAATCATTATGTTATATACCTGAAACCAATATAATATTGTATGTCAGTTATATATCAATAATAAATATAAGATATTTAATACCAAGACACCAAAGAGCTTTAGCTAGTTATTAATAAATTATATGCTACTGAAAAAAAATCAAAGTTCTTTGGAGGAGCCAAAAATGCTAAGTTAATTATAATTCCCACTGACACTAATTGTCATGTAATCATTCTCAAGAGTTGCAATAGTTACTTGTGATTGCTCTCAATTCTTGCATAGGATACAAATACTGGCATTAAATCATCACTACACAGGATTGTGTCAAATTCATTATGCATCTTATGACATAAAATAATGATTTTCACCCAGTTATGAGAGACAAAAGTTATTATATTTACATGTAAAATTTCCAGGGTGTATTTATATATTTATGATAATATGGGCAATACTGTATGTTTTCAAAGGACTTCTATCAGAATTAATTAGATTTCACTTATAAAATATGATATGCTTTTAAACTTGGGTTATGAAGCCCATTAAGCAGATTGCAGCATTCTGAATAAAAAAAATTAAACGCTAAAGATCTGGTTGTGCTATACATTCCTGATACGGAATCTCCGACATACTGGATTTCATTCTAAACAAAAGGGAGTTGATTTTCAGAGAACTTGTGTATTTGCCAGCATCATAGATAATAGGAGAACCTAGGATAAAACAGTAGTATTTTAACTCCAGGATCAGAATGAGTTTTATTATATCGCACTAAAGTAAATTAACAGATACATGTGTGTGCATGTGTGTGTCTGAATTAGCCAATTATTTCAACTGTACCAAAACCAATTCATTTATTAAATATTTATTAAACACTATTATCTATCAGGTACACTTAGAAATAAAATTACATCTATGTCATCTAAAAAAGAGTCTAAAGATTTAAATTGATTTCAATTTTGGAGCACAAATCCTATGGTTATTCAAAAGAAAAATCCTAAAAATGGCTTGGTGTCTGTGTTAAAATATACATAAGTAATAATAATGATGAAGTATAGTATAATGTATACTAATTGAAAATCTGGGAAAAATAGGATAAAATATTTTATATAAATTATTTGCTTAGGTGTAAATTTAAGTATTAAATTTGGATATAAGGAAAAATATACTGGAAAGACAAAATCTAAATTGTTAATGCCAGTTGTCTGATTCATGTGAAATGGATAACTCTTTATTTCTTAAACCTTTTATAACAGTTTTTTGAGGTATAATTAAGATATATGTTAGTGTATACTCAAGAAAGCATTGTAACCATTAAGACAATGAGGACACACAGCATCACCCCATATTTCCAGTCAGAAAATGCAGCAACAAAAGTTATAGACAGCTTCATAATGGGGAACAACTTGAATAACAACACTTCATTGTGGATGGGTATAAATATTAATACATGTATGATAAATATATATCAATCTACTATATTGCAGAAGCTCTTTTTTATTTTATTTTTTCTTCAGTTAACACAGGTGGAAAATATCTGTTTTACTGGACTTTTTGAGGATTAAGTAAAAGAATGGAACTCATATTTCATTATCCATGTTGCTATATTACTATAAATCTGAAGGTTTGGAAGTATGTGATAGTTTGGGAAAAGAAAGGAAGGGAAAGAAAGAGTTGAAAAAACAAAAAGGAGTGATGAAGAGGAGATTATTTTCATGTTCATGTTTCCTGAAAGAATTGATTTACAGAATTCCCCTCTTCTGCAGTGGGCAGGAGAAGCTTGAGAACAACAGCAAATCATATTACGTGTATTATTCAGCCAAGTCATTTAACCTGTTCTTTAATTTTTTTTTTAAATAAGAACAAAACTGTAGGGGCACCTGGGTGGCTCAGTGGGTTAAAGCCTCTGCCTTCAGCTCAGGTCATGATCTCAGGGTCCTGGGTTCAAGCCCTGCATTGGGCTCTCTGCTCAGGGGGGAGCCTGCTTCCCTCTCACTCTCTGCCTGCCTCTCTGCCTACTTGTGATCTCTGTCTGTCAAATACATAAATAAAATCTTAAAAAATAAAATAAAATAAAATAAGAACAAAACTGTTGCTCTTTAATGCTTTCCACTCAACAGGATGAATTCAGAAATAAGCATGGCAGATTGTTTAAAGAAGGTGCTAACCAAATTTAATAACCTATACTAATAAATTTAATACCCTGGAGTCAGCAAACTTATTAAACAGAAATAAAGGAGAGGGTATATTAACTCTGATTTGCCTGACTCACAATGACTACCATTCTTAGAGTGATCATATATATGTAATATCTCTAAGTCATGTATATAAATTACTAGGACTATGATCACATGTCTTCTCTATAGTCAATAGAGGTCAAATATAATCTTGTGTTTTTATGTTAGTTTCCTGTTGTTACTGTAACAAATTACTATAAACTTAGTGTCTTAAAACAATACAAATTTACAGTTGTGGAGGTCAAAAGTCCAAATGGTCTCACTGAGTGGGCTAAAATCAAGATTCAACTAGGAGGCACCAGGGGAGAATCCATTTCCTCACCTTTTCCTACTTCCAGAGATTGCCCACATTCTCTGGCTCATGTTCCCTTCCTTTGTTTTCAAAGCAATGGTGGGTCTAGTTTTTGTCACGATTTATCACTGACATTGGTTCCCTCTTCCACATTTAAGTACCCTTATAAACTTGCATGGATGATCCAGGATAATCTCCCTGCTTAACTTATTTATTTTTTTTAAGATTTATTTATTTTAGAGAGAAAGTATGTGTGTGCATGTATGCTCGCAAGTTGGGGGAAGGAAAGAGAGAATCTTAAGCAGACTCCCCACTGAGCATGGAGCCCAATGTAGTGCTCTATCTCAGAACCCTGAGATCATCATCTAAGTTGAAATCAAGAGTTGGACACCTAACCAACTGAGTCACCTATGTGCCCCAATTTCCCTACTTTGAAGTCAGCTGATTATCAATTTGAATTCCATCTGCTACCTTAATTCTCTTTTGTCATGTAATGTAACATATTCAAAGGTTCTAGGGATTAAGACATGAAATCTATCATTCTTCTAATCACAGTTCTGTCTTCCTCTGTTGGCCCACTAGCATATTCAACTTTGTTTTGATCCTGTGGGTCTCTTTTTGCAGAAAATGCAAATATACTGCAAAAGAGGGTTGAAATAGGTTTATAATAAAACATAATCCCAGGAATTGATAGTAATCTAAATTTACGTTTTCTTCTTAGGGATGACAATGAAATACTTCTTGTATTTGGCTGCTGCTGCTGGTTTCCTGCCCATTTGGATTATACGAGTATGTGAGGATTGTATGTTTCATAATTGCTTTACAGAAAAGGATAAGAGCTACCCCCGTAGAATTCATTTTGTTACAGACACTGTTGTGAGGACGCTATGCCCATTACTCACCCTGGTCTTACCTGCTCTAGTAGGCAAGTACTATTCTTAATTTCACATTGCAGAGAAAAGAACCAAAGCAGAGGGAGGTGAAGTCATATGGCAATGACAGATAACTGGGAAGTGGCAGACCCTGAAAGGAAACCTAGGCAATTTGGCTTCATGGGGTCATGCCAAATTCATTATAGCTCCTCTGGATAATTCAAAACAACATGGATGGAACTAGAGAGTATTATGCTAAATGAAATAAGCCAGTTAGGGAAAGACACATACCACGTGATTTCACTCAGATATGGAATTTAAGAAACAAACAAAGGAGCAAAGGGAAATAAAGGGAGAGAGTGGCACCTTCACACTTCACAGTAAGGAAAAGCTGAGCCAAAGAAAACCCACCATCAGAGAGAAAGGAGAAAGACAGTGAGAAAGCAAATTTTGCCTTTAAGACCTAATCAGTACTAGGCTAGTCTAGGTCACTTAGTTAGTACATGTTCTAGGAGAGACCCTGGCCCAGGCTACCATGTGAAAGAAGGAATCAGTATCAGAGTTAAAAGTCCAGATGAAAAAGCAGGTAACAAGAACTCCTCTCAGTCAGGGGAACCAGAGCCTCATCTACTTACTGGCCAAGAATACAAAGGAAAAATATGAGTGTTGAAGGCATTGATAAAACAGCTGTTATACATTCCATAGACAGTTATTGGAATATTTGCATGGTTACAGAAAGTTTGCTCAGAAAATTAAGGCTTAAGAATTTTAAAAGAAAACAACATCATAAGACAAATTAAGCCCCAAACACAAATTCATTGCATAAAATTTAAACATGAATGCTAGTTAAAGGAAATAATAAACTGTTGCTATTAGTCCAATAAAAATAAACAATATGCTATATTCTCTTTTTAGACTCTGGATAGAAAACAAATAGACTAACAACTAGGCCGTGAAAACTGGCAACATTTTCAGGAATTTTGATTGGGAAGGCAAATAGAAAGTACAGCAAATGAATGGGGAAGTGAAATAAATGAAAAGTTTTGTCTGTTTATTTTAAGTTACAAGCAAAATGATCATGAATAAGTGGGAAGGAAAATGAATTGGTTGAAGTTATAGTGGAAAGGTAATGAGTAATGTAAGATTTGGTGAAATGTGGAAGAGAATGGAATAAACAACACTGGGGAGAAATAACTTTTGAAAGAATGACCGGTTTTTACTTTTTTGAGGATACTATTTTCCATTATGGCTTTACCATTTTTCATTCCATCAACAATATATCAAAGTTCCCTTTTCTCTACGTCCCTTGCAACACCTAAAATTTTGTTTTTAATAATAACCATTTTAACAGGTGTGAGGTGATATATCATTGTGGTTTTGATTTTCATTTCCTTGATGATTAATGACGTTAAGAACTTTCTCATATAGCCGTTGGTCATTTAGAAGTCTTTTTTGGGAAAATGCCTGTTTAGGTTCTTTGTGTATTTTTAAAATCAAGTATTTTGTTTTGTTTTGTTTTTGTTAATTATACAAGTTCCTTCTATATTTTGGATATTAATTCCTTATCAGATATATAGCTTCAAATATTTTCCTATTCATTAAGTTGCCTTTTCATCTTTCTTATTGTTTCCTTGCTATGCAGAAACTTTTTAGTTTGATACAATCCTACTTGCTTATTTTTTCTTTCATTGTCTGTGCTTGCCAAGACCAATATCAAGGAACTTTTTACTTATGTTTTCTTCTAGGAGTTTTATGATTTTAGGTCTTATAGGACCTTTCAGATCCACTGTAAGTTGATTTTAATGTATGATGTGATATAAGGGTCTAATTTCATTCTTTTGCATGTGGACATCCAGTTTTAAATTTGCCAAGAGGGTAAATCTTATGTTAAATGCTTTTATAAGATACACAAAATAATAACAATAGTTATAGGAAAGGGGGCAGGAGGAAACTTTGAGAGGTGATTGATATGTTTGTGTTCTTTTGTTTGTTTATATTGATGGTGATGATGGTTTCACAAGTGTATACTTACCCAAACTCATTGAACTATATACATTAAACATGTATAGCTTTTACATGTCAATTATACCTCCAGAAGATGGTTAAAAAAAACAAGAAAGTATGATCTGTTCTATAGTACCACAAGTGATAAGGAGAAAAGAATGAGAACAGATAGAAGCAGATTAGTAGACTGACCAAGAGCAGCTGAAACAAAGAGTTTCAGAGAGTGTCTCTTTACTGGGGAAAGTAAGACATAGCAAAATCTATTGAAAGAGGTCAATGTAATTGGGGTAGAGTGCACAAATTCTGCAATTACATTGTGAAGAAAGACAAAGTGAACTAACCAGGTAAAATAAGTAGAACTGATGAGCAAAATTAAGGGACTGTTTGAGATTAGACATCAGGATTTTGTATGATACCAATACCTGGCGTTTTGTGGAATATTTTTCTGCTGTTGCTCATCTGACTCTGTGTGAGCAGGGAAATTTGTGGTCTCACCCAAAGTGGGGACGTTCCTAAATGGCAATGGATGGGGAAGGATTCAATATTTTAGCAAGGAATTTGTTGAATAAGAGAACATGAATAGGGGCACCTGGGTGGCTCAATCATTAAGCGTCTGCCTTTGGCTCAGGTCATGATCCCAGAGTCCTGGGATTGAGGCCCACATCAGGCTCCTTGCTCAGTGAGAGGCCTGCTTCTCTCTCTCCCACTCTCCCTGCTTGTGTTCCCTCTCTCACTGTGTGTCTCTCTCAGTCAAATAAATAAATAAAATCTTTAAAAAGAGAGAGAGAGAACGTGAATAGAAAAAAGGAGAGAGAAAATAGAGAAAATGAAAAAAGAGCTAGAAGACTAGATTATGTTGAAAATAGAGTGACTGACCTTAGCAATCTGAAAAAGCAGGAAATTCTGATCAGGCAGGGAAAAGTTTGACCAGGTGATTTGGCATTTAGTGTGATTATAAAATATAGGCTGTGACCACCATGGTGGAGACTAATGAGACTTGAAGGAGAGGTCTAAGAGAGAAAAAAATTCAAGGGTCTGAGATAGCAGATGACTGGAACTATCCATGTGAATGCTGAAGTCCCTTGACTGCAGAAATAGACGTGGACAGGATGGATTTGCTTCAGAAGGCCCAATTTCAGTACCCTGAAATTGGGCCTTCTGAAACAAATTCAGTCAGCTGAATCAGGATGGTTCAATCAGTTAAACATGTGTGTTAGGCTCAGGTCATGATCTCAGAGTCCTGGGATCAAGCTCCGCATGGGGCTCCCTATTCAGCAGAGTCTACTTCTTACTCTTTCTCTGCCCCTTCTGTGCTCCAGCTCATGCTCTCTCTCTCTCTCTCAATAAATAAATAAATAAATAAATAAAATCTTAAAACACACACACACACACACACACACACACACACCAAAAAACCAGAAGGCCTAATTTCAATGAATGAGAGGAAGTGATACGAAAACGTTATAGGAGAATGAATGTTCAGAAATGAGATGGTAGAGCAATATGTCATGAGTTTCACTGGAGCAGAGTTCGGAGGAACAAGGAAAATTTAATTTGGATATGGGAAGGAGATTCTGGTCATTCCCTACCTCTCCTCGAGTATAAACAAGGACTACCTGAAGTATGGAGGAAAATAGCACCATAGGACTGTGTTTCTGAGGAAATTGATATCCATAGGAAATAGTCTCTAGAAGGGTCTTCTGGATTCCATATTTATGCCTTTTTCCCATTCCTATTTTATGTGGATATAAAATAAATGAAATAACTACAAATTTGAGCAAGGTATGGTGTTGGATCCTATTTGTTCAGAAATTGCTAATGTTCCTATGGTACTTGAGGAATAAACAGATACTACTCAAATTATACTATGTATGTTTTGCCACTTTTTAAACAAAAGGAATGAAGTGTATGTGATATATAGTACACACACAAAAGAAGCTGCTCTTGATAGAATTAAAACCTAAAACATTAAAGCCATTTAGTTTTCTTCTTAGTTGCAAGATAAAGGGTAAACAAATTTAAAGAATAGTCATTAATTCTGGATTGTAGCTGATTTTAATTCTATTTAATACTTACATATATGTATGTAAATGCTAATGTTTTTTCCTAAGCATAAGAGAAAAAGGTAGAAACTGAGTTGAAGACACTGGAGACTTTGTATTCAATAATTAATATCTTAGATTAGACACATCCTTTAGACAGTATTCGAGTGCAAGTGGTTTATTTAAGAACCAAAGAGAACACTTGCAGGAAATGGGTTGGTATATGAGCCAAGGAAGGGAAGTCAGTGTAATGTCAAGATATCTTCCACTGTGGCTTATATGGCCCTAAAAAGTACTTTTACATGGCTCAAAGTACCAAGCATAAATTTGAAAAACCCCAATCATAGTATATCCAGTGTTTTATGCTATACACTTGTATAATGTCAAATGACATTCAGAAACCCGAAAGACTAGAACTGGAGAAATGGAAAATAATCTATTGACCAATTATTAATTTTAAAATCCTATAGATCATTGTCTAGTAAATATAAACTATAAATTCATATTGCTGTAGGTCCGCTAGGAATATAAGTGGTGAATTACACATAAAAGAAATAAGACTAATTAAATTAATTTTCTGATCGCAGGCAAAACCAACTCCAGTTCCATATGTTCCATATAATACTCTCCTCACTGAACTGGCAACTGTCCAAGAAGAAATCGTTACTGTACATAACACCCTCAGGAGAGGAGTAGTTCCGTCAGCCAGCAACATGCTGAAGATGGTGAGATTAATTAAACAGCAACAATGATGTCAATAATAGTAATAGTGTTTACTGAGTTTTTATTAAGTTCTCTTCACTTTCAGTATACTAAAACTTTGGTCTTCCCAAACAAATCTATGACTTAACAGCAGAAGAATTGGAGACACAGAGGCCCCTGGGTGGCTCAGTCAGTTAAACATCTGCATATGGCTCAGGTCATGATCCCAGTGTCCCAGGGTAGAGCCCCACATCCTGCTCCCTTCTCAGCAGGGTCTGCTTCTCCCTCTCCCTCTGTGTGCATGTAACCTCTCTCTCTCTCTCAAATAAATAAATCTTAAAATTTAAAAAAAAAGAAAGAAATGGAGGCACAGAGATGGTAATTAACTTTCCCAAAATATAGTTTTTAAATGACAGAGCAACAATTCCAACTCAGACAGTCTAATTTCAATCCTAATGTACTCTAGGACAGTGCTTCTTCATCTTGAAAGAACTGCCAAAGAACTTTTTAAAACACAGATTCCTGGGCCCCACTGTCTGAGATCTTGATCTGGAAAGTCTCTGGTGGAGACCCCTGCAAGCTCCCAGCTGAAGCTGACGCTACCGGCCAGTACTGTCAGCACAGCGAGCTCTAAGTTATAGAGGCAATTCATAACTGTCTTCATTGGGCAGCAGCCCAGAGGCTAGACTCTCATCTGAGAATCAAGATGTCCAGATTCGAAGTCAAGGGGTCCTGCCAGATAAACCAATATTGACAAACCTATTTCCCAGTTCCCTGGCACCCCATAAAAAGAGAATTGTCTTTCCACTATAAACCTGGTGTGTGAATGGAGTAGGTACTACAGAACAAAACAAAGTTAGGGCAGTCTCAGAAGTACCAGGTGATTAGTGAATACGTGTTATCTCTCAGAAGTATCACTCAGGTTTTTCTGCAACCTGATCCTGGTCCCTTTAACCTTGCTTGGACGGGTCTAGTGTACAAGAATTAGAAATTTCTATTTCTAATGAGCACTCACTCTGGAGAGCGATTCTAAGAGACCGTCTCCTCATGCAAATGATGAAAGTGGGAAGCAAGTGAAGAAAAACATTATTTTCAAATTTATCTCTTGGTCACCTTAAAATAGAAAGTGTTATTTAAACAAATCAATAAAAATTCAGTACCTATCACAGGCTTTCTTGCATTGCGAGTGCTGTGCCTGACATGTATATTGTGCTTACTGTTGACAGGCACTCTTTTAGAACTTTGTTACATTAACTCATTTAAATCAATAGTTCTGTGATCCGGATAATACTGTCATCTCCATTTTATTGATAATGAGTCTGAACCTCAGAGAAATAAGCTAGCATCCAAAGTAATAAGCACTGAATTAAGTACAGATTCAAATGCAAATGGCACAGCTCCAGGCACCGGCTCTTAACTATATGCCTCCCTTAGTACAAACAGGGTCCAAACTCACTGGACTCCAATAGGGTCCAAACTCCTTGGCTTCCAGAAGAGCAAACACATGTAGCTAGGAGGTTCTAAAGAAATTTTAGAATAAATGGAAAGTATAGACCCTGATTTCAGAGATTATATTATTGTGGATTAAAGGCAACTACAAAGGAACTTTTAGAAGCTCATGTAAGAATGAATACATTGAGGTGCTAAAGTGTAAAGGCAGGAGAGATCAACAAGACTATAAATTAGGTGACCAGTAAGACTGAATCATATTTTAAAAGGAATACGAGAGTTGAGCTGTTCCATAAACAATGCTTTGGATGTGGCTAGAAAGGAACTGATAGAGTACAGCAGGGCTGAAGAGGCAATCACAACTGCCAGGCAGAGATTTTCTAAAAGTTTCCATACATAGGGTTAGAAACCAATTAAATGGAACCACGTATTAAAGCCAGAATTCATAGCTTTGGTACAATAACCCTGACTACTCATTTGTGATTTTAATCCTGGGTCTATCTCAGAAAGAAAGGAGCATCTTACCAGTATTAATCAGAGGTAATATCCTAGACAGCTTCCTTAAAGAGGTCTGAACCACAGACTGTATGTAATGAATGCTGCAGGTAGTTTATGCGACAAGATAAGCATATTCAGATGGAGATTAGCATGCAGAACGTTTATTGGAGAACAATCACCAGAATGACACCTACCTGTGGAGGTAGAGAGAAAAGCAGCAGTGGACATATGGAAAAGTTGGATTGTGATATAGTCACAACAGAGGGCTCAGATAATTCTTCAGGAAGCTTAGTACAACCAAGACAACCCTTCTGATTGGAGGGAAGTGGCTTGGAATTTACAGTTCCCATATCCATCAGTTGTTGGGTAAGGACTACCCCAGGGAAGGGGTTATGCTCCTGGGTGCAGGACAATTTTTAGAAAGGACAGACAGTAGAACTGTCAGTGGACAGGACTCCTAGCTTAAGAGGAAATTAGTGCTTCAGAAAGTGACCTGGTAGTACATCATGGCATATACAACAAGCAATGAGTTGTAAGTTACCCAGATAACTTATAGTCCTAATCACTTGGTAACCTGGTCATAATAGGCAAGTTTTGTTTTTTTTTTGTTTTTTTTTTTTTGTTTTTTAACTAAGGCATGCAATGATAATATTCCCACCAGGAGATCCTGTGTCCTAACAGGATGTGTTGTATCATCTCCACTTCCTCAGGTAGATATATCCACTACTAAAATATAACTTTTCTCACATGAAGCAATCGAACCTTACAAAATGGCTAATGACTTACTTAATTCATCTCAAGATTTAATAAATTCCTTCAAGAAATTTATTCCTTGGGTATTATTCAAGGGTAATTCTGTAAAACTAACCCAGATGGCAGCATACACATATAACAGTTAAACATCTTTGCTACCAGGAAAAATGGTGAAAATCTAAGTCAGGTGTCATCCAAAACTTATTCTAAAGAGTAAGTGAATGATTAATGTCAAAGCTTGTAGTAAAAAATGAAGTCTACAACTTTTGTTGGTGATGTGTTGCATGTAGATGTAAGGATTAAAGAGTGTTAGGAAGAACATTCTTCAAAGTCCCATGATTAACGATACAGACTTTTTGCCTCCTTTCAACTTACCTGGAGATACGCCTGACAAAATGCTTCAATTCAACACAATTGACACAGATTAAGAGTTAAGAGCACACATTCTGAAGACAGAATAATGTGGATTCTAATTCTTTTTTGGCTACTTAGTGGTTGTGTTACCCTAAGAAATTATGCAACATCTCTGTTTTGCCATTTACAAATGGGGATAACAATAGTACTTCCCTTATAGAGTTGCTCTGGGTCAATATTTGAAAATATAGGTACAGAATTGGTAACAGATCCTGACATGTGGTTTTAGCTACTATTTTTATTATTATTTATAATTTTAGATGGAGACATGTGACACTGTACATAGCTGTTGTTTATTTGTAGAGCACATAGTATAAGATCTGTCATACTGCAATTGTGTTGCATAAATTACTACATTAAGACTTTAGAACAAACTATTTGGCATGAATGATGGGTCACATTTTACAGATGAAGAACATACTCAAAAAGATTAAATAATGTGTCAGAGATAAAACTGCTAATAAATAATGGAATGGATTTCTAACCCTGATCTGTTTTATTGAAAGCATTTATTTGAACTCTTTCACACTTCTGAGAGAGAAGCTATATCTGAATATTATTACCAAATTTTGATTTTATAAATTCAAGGGCTAACATGGTGAGTCAAAGTTTTGTCTCCCTCTTCCAACCAGAATATTTAATATTATTATTTAAATTGTTAGATTATAACATTGAGGATATTGCTAGCCTTGGATTTTTAGAAACCATAAACTAGAATATTATCATGGAAATGCCAATAAGACCAAGCTCTTATATTTTACTCTTTTTCTGTAGGATTGGAGTGAAGAAGCTGCACAAAATGCCAGAATGTTGTCAAAGCAGTGTGAATTACGAGAAAGCAACTCAATTAAGAGGCGAATTACAAGTAGGTATATACATCTGCATGACTCACCTCCATACTCAAAAATCCTTAGGAAACATTAAGTAACCTGGCAAAGGTAAGTTAAGTCATTCAGTCTATGATATGGCCCCATAAATGACCGTGGATTGTGGCCCACTGCGCTGTTTTCTTATTATAATTTTTAAATTTGGATATTCAAATTTCAGATTCTTATCATCAGAAACAAGAATCAAAGCTCTTGATATTACAGAATAGTTAAGCAATACAATAATAACTAGATGGACAGCTAGATAGCTAGAAGCTTTCCATTCTATGTAGTTATTTCAGCTACACACTATATCACCCTAGGGATACCTTTGCCTTTGAAACACTAATAGAGTTGAGAGGTGAGTTCTATTCAACTCTACTGAGCTGTACATGAGAACAAATTTAGGTGCTCATAGAAGAGTCCATCTCAATGGCATATATATCAGGTGGATCACTGCTCGTTTCCAGAAAAGCTATTAGTACTTCCTACACAAGTAGACATTATTAGCACTTATGAGATAATTGTTTATTACAAAATATTTTTAAAATACTAATGAAACTTCCATATTTACAAATTATTGGCCATTTTTGCCCAATGTTGATGCATGAATTAGCAGTAGGAATCTTTTCTGCCCCAGAGAAAGGTAGATCACTCCTGAATACCATTTGTGATCAAGAACCCACATCACAAGTGGATGGCTAAATGAGCAAATGTTTATTCCAAGGCCCTTGCATAATGAATACCTCTCTGTGGCTGTTTTCAAGTCATGGGTCCTCTTACAACCCATGAGCTGCTTGGACTGGTTTCACCCTTCTCAACAGTTCAGAAGTGGCAGAGTCTGAAATGTTGACCTGATTCCTAAGCTTGCACATCACCTTCTACTGTCAACTTCTTACCAAACCAAAGTACCACAAGTTGCCAGCAGAGATTTCCAGCAGAGATACAGCTGAGTTGTTTTTTGTTTGCTTTTTTTTTTTTTATAAGACGTTGCTTGGATGACTGGTAAAATATTTGTAAAATGAAAATGAGGAAAATATCCTTGTAATATATTTCCAAGTTTCTTCAAGTATGACACAGACTTTTTCTCCCTTTCAGATACTTTTTGTGGAGAAAATATGCATTTGACAACTTATCCTATCTCGTGGTCAAATGTAATTAAAATCTGGTACAATGAATCTAAATATTTCAAGTATGGGGAACAGATATCAACAGATGATGACTTAACAATGGAGCATTACACTCAGGTAAGCTGCATATTTGCAAAGGTGCACATTGTTTAAATGTCTAGAAGCATGTGTGGAAAACAGGTGACTGAGAAAAATCATTCTACCCACTTTTCGCAACCTTGCACTTTACCCACTGAGTTCCTGTTATAATTTGAAACATAAGGAAATGTGATTCCCTCAATAGATGGCTTAGAGAAGCTGCTTAACTGTTTAGTCTCCGTTTTTTATATATTTGGACTTTGGGGAATTAATAAAATCATAAAACATCAGTGTCACTTATAAATTATATTTCTAATATGTCTAAAGGATGAAAATTATAGTACCTTATAATACAGAGAATCCTCTTCCTCTGGTTTATTTTTATTGTGATAAAATTATATGTATATATCTGTAAAATATACACATATATTATTTTTATTTATCATATATAATTATTTGCATATATACATATATAACACATAACAATCATTTGTATATGCATATATGAATATATTTTATAAAATTTGCCATTTTAATCATTTTAAAATTATGTAGCATTAGTGTTCAGTAGCTTTAACTACGTTCAAATTGTTATGAAGCAATCACGACTATAGATTTTCAGAACTTTTCACCTTCCCAAACTGTACCCCTTAAACAATGCTTCCCCTTCCCCATCTCCCCAGCCTCTGGCAAGCACCATTCTACTTTCTGTATCTATCAATTTGATTACTCTAGATACCACATATAACTGGAATCATTCAATTTTTGTCCCTTTGTGTCTACCTTATTTCACTTAGCATTATATCCTCATTTGATGTTCATTCATGTTGTAGCACATGTCATAATTTTACTCTTTTTTAAGGCTGAATAATATTCCATTGTATGTATATACCACCTGTTGTTTATCCATTCATTCACTGATGGGTGTTAGGTTGTTTCTGCTTTTGGCTATGGGTAATAATTTTGCCATGAACATTGGTGGGTACATATCTGTTCATATCCTGCTTTCAGTTCTTTTGAGTATATACCCAGAAATGGAATTTCTGGATCATATGGTAATCATATGCTGAATTATTTGAGGACCTGGTATACTGTTTTTCAGAACAGCTGCATTATTTGACACATTCCCAGTAGCAATGACACTTCTGATTTCTCCACATCCGTGCTGTTTTGGTCTGCTTGGACTCCCATAACAAAGAACCACAAGCTGGATGGACTAAACAACAAAAATTTATTTTCTATAGTTTTGGAGGCTGGAAGTCTATGAACTTTTGAAGCATAGTTTGTTTCTGTGAGAGTTCTCCTTCTGCCTTCTTTTCATTATGTCCGTGTATGGACTTTACTTTCCTTCTGTCTGTGCATGCTTGCAGAGAGAGAGAGAGGAAAAAAAAAAAAAAAGAGTGAAAGCATGAGTGCCAGCACTTTCTTATAAGGACACGAACCCTATCAGATCATGGTCCCAAGCTTAGAACTTCATTTAACCTAAATTACTTCTGTAGAAGTTCTTTCTCCAGTTAGAGTTGCTGGGTTATATCAGGTTATTTGGGGTTTTGTTGCTGAGTTGTAAGAGTTCTTTATATATTCTAGATACCTATCCTTTAGCAGGTATATGATTTGCAAACATCAATTCCTATTACATAGAATGCCTGTTCATTCTGATGATAGTATCCTATGATGCACAAATGTTTTAAATTTTGATAAAGTCCAATTTATCTATGTTTTTTCCCCTTTTCTATCTGTTTTTGGTGTCTTATCCAAGAAATCACTGCCAAATTCAATATTGTGAAGTTTTTTCCTTATGTTTCCTTCTAAGAATTGTTTTTATGGTTTCAGCCCTTACACTTATATGTTTAATTCATTTTGACTTATTTTTTATAATATGGTAAAAGGTAGGGCCCAGCTTCATTTATTTGCATGTCAATACCTAGTTTTTCCAATTTTGGTTGGGATAAGGCAGTCCTATCCCTGTTGACTCATCTTGGCACCCTTTTGAAAATCATTTGTTCATATATGAAGACCATGTGAAGATTTATTTCTGGACTCTATTTTAGTTCTAAGGTTTATATGTCTATTGTTATGCCACTACCAGTGTTTTAATTATTATAGCTTTGTGGTAAGGTTTGATATTAGAAAGCATAAGACTTCCAACTTTGGTCTGCTTTTTCAGGACTGCCCATTTAAAAACCATAAACTTAATCACTTATGGATAACAATGCAGATATTCTAAATAAAAGACTAGCAAATAGCATTCTTATTTTAAAATTGATACATTGGACAAAAAGGATATGTTCTAGGAATCTAAGAATGTTATAACATTAGACTCTTTATTCATATGATTTGCCTTGTCAAACAATCAGAGGATGAAAATAAAATGATCACCCAGAGAACTAAAAATCTGCCAAATTTGTGACATCAATTCTGACTTTCTATTTCCTTCAGATAAATGTAGACTAAACTTACTATATACATCTAACACCATTAGTTCCATCACACTCAGATGGTAACCTAATATTTCCTCTTCCAAACACTTAAAAATTTTATTATCCAATTCCCACAATACACCTGTGATATAGAAGATAATACTAATATTTTATACAATTTTACAAATAGAAAAATAAAATTTCAAAACATAAACTGGTAAATGCCATACAACCAGGAAGTGGTAGAAATAGAATTTGACACTGAGATATTTTGCCTTAAAGGCCAATTCTACTCTATACCATACTTCTTCTCTGATGATTAAATAAAATTCCTCCTATTATTTGATTTGTATATAATCACCAACCAGCCTCCATCATGTTACCTGATTTTCCATATACAGTTGATAATAGAATGAGCCAGGATTAAGGATGGCCAATAAGTGTGCATATGTATGTGTGTTATCCAGACACATGCAAATCTTTCTGTTTCTATGACTTCCTAATAAGCCATGCTCAAAGCATCCTAAAAGCAAATGTGTTTATTTTCAGCCATGGATAACAGTATTCATATTATAATCCTGTAGCCCAAGTCAAATTATTAATAAAATAATCTCTTTATCATTACAGATTGTTTGGGCCACTTCTTACCTCATTGGCTGTGGAATATCATCATGCCCCAAAAGACTGGCAACTCAGTTTCTCTATGTTTGTCACTATTGTCATGAGTATGTATTATACAGCTTGGTGTCACACAGCCTTTAGAAATATATCCCTCTTACATAATCCAGTTTATTAAGGAATATATAAGAAAACTTAAATAAATATTTCATTTCATTTAAGTGGAACCTTAGGGATAAAATGTCATTTAGCCAATACCTAAAAACATTGCACACACACACACACACACACACACAATTTTATTTATATAATATTTTTTAAATAAATTTTTATTTATATTTCATTAATAGAATGCCAAATTCAAAGCTATTACCTGTGTTATTGATTAGCATAAGCAAAAAAGCAAGGGTTTCTACTTCAACAATTCTAAAGTGTATTTAGAATGCAAGGGCAGAAATATTGTGGAGTATCAAGAATAAACAAATGGAAAATTAAAGTGTTCCTTTATTTAGCTTTTTGGTCTAACTATTGATACATGCCTTTTCTTTAGAAATTAAATTTACGTGTTATCAAGGTGTGAGTCACCACTCCTAGAAGAGATAATCTGATTGCCTCAGTGAGGGGAAGGTGGACTCCTTTGCTCTCTCAACTGTGGTTGCTCTATAAGCACGACCAATTTCAGACAAAGATGATTGTAGAAGGACACAGGAGCACACTGTGTGGCTCCAGTGGTAATCATAAGAAATTAGAGATTGTTCAGAGCTTGTCCTCTAATAGTTCACTACAAATGCCTGTTTAAATATATTCTGCTAAGGAAAGTTAATGAGTGGTCTGCATATGTCTCTTTAAGCTATCTTTACCTATATAGTTGAATACCCAAATTTTCCATCATACTATGAGCTCTAAGCATAATGTTTAACTGCAATTCCCCCATGTGTTACAAAATAAAAAATGTTCAATATGAATCAGTAAAAATTATTTATCTGTTAATATGTTACCATATTTGTACTTTTAATGAGGTCTCCAGTATCAGTGTAGATTCAATAGATATATTTATATAAGAGTTCTACATGAGTTATTTTCTGGTTTCCTCATGTCTTGATTTTAATAGTTAATATTTTTTATGATTTTATCTATATAATTAGTACCAAAGACAGTAAGATCTCTTTACATCTACAACACATCAACTATACTATCTTTCTATAAATCTTTCAGAGGCTGGTGGTGGTTTCTGGTGAACTGACAATTATAGAAAAGTAAAACACATGGAACTGTAATAGAGAATATTCTGCAGCAAATATTAGACCAAGAGTCTGACAAAATCTCTTACTTAATTAAGGATTAAGTTTCTTTTATAAAGTGAAATTTGGGAGTACCTGGCTGGCTTAGTTGGTAGAGTATGCAAGTCTTGATCTCTAGTTCATGAGTTCAAGCCCCACATTGGGCATAAAACTTACTTTAAAAAAAAAGGCAAAAAAATAAAATGAAATTCTAACAATTCAGATATCAAAGGGAACAATATCAACTAGAATGCTATTGTAACCAGAACATTTACTTTATTTTTCAAGCACATTATGTAAGATTCAGTTATAATCCACCTTGTTTTCTTAGATATCTGCAGGTAAAACTGTCTTTATTTGAATTTCCTATTAGCTTAGACCTAAAAATTCTCATCCACTCTCTCTCCCCCAAATCTACCACTTTAGATTTAGCCATATTGACAGATTTTCGTATTTTATAATGCTCTATATGTTTCTACACAAGAGAAACATGTATCAAGTTTCTCATGATCTTGTGCAAGATTAAATTAGAACATTTCCAACTTGACTCACTTAAAATGTTCTCAACATGTCCTTTTACATGACTGCCTACCAAGTCCTTATGGAAATAAATAAATAAAAGTGACCAATTATAAATGGCTCTAAAGCTCTTCTGCTTAAGATTTGACTGTTCATAGATTCCAGTCCTGTTAGAACTTAACTATCTGAATAGGGTAAATTCTAAAGTTCTTAGGAGCCCACAGTTGCCCATTACACATTCAGAAAGATAAATTGTCATCATTGCAAGTCTAGAAATCTTAAACCTATCTTAAAGATTATCATCATTATCTAGAAGTGGTTTTCAAAAATTGTTTTCAAAGTTGATTATAAATAGTAACATTTTATATTCATTGTCCAAGAATCAATATTATTACATCACGTTTTCCTTTATCCTTTTTTTAAGGGGAAATGATCCTGACAAAATGAATAATCCTTATAACGCAGGAAGTCCATGTGGAGACTGTCCAAATGACTGTGAAAATAAACTTTGCAGTAAGTTTTACATTCAATATGCTTAATGTAGACCAAGGAGCCATGTGTCCTCCAAGTTAAGGATTGACAATATTGCAGTTTTCTATAACTTTTTTCTGAATCATCACACAAGGAAAAATCAACATTATTTCTTATTTCTCCTACCTGAGTGACCAAGAAGATGATTGATTAAATCTATGGGAATGGAAATTAGAAAGGCTAAGCCTAAACTCCAGCCCCCGCCCTAAAGTTTAATGACCCTAATAGGAAAACTTGGATAAGATGTTAATATAACTAAATATATTTTTCTCTGCCCTATAAAAAAGTTCCTGGGCTCTCTTATTGCAACCTGATATTAGACATATTATTTTCAGAATACCAACATTCTCAGCTTCTTGCTGCTCCATAGCTCCCCTACCTATCTGACCACTTATTAGGGCTGTAATTTCTTATGGAGTCATCCTTATTCTTCCATGTTCCTACTGACATATTAGGAGATATCAGTTGATGGTTACACTGTCCCCTTACAGCACTTGCTCTATTTCTTAAATAAACCTTACCTACAAAGCAGTACTAACCAAATGGATTCCTTTTTCTAGAGGTTCCTGAAAACATAACTCCTAATCCCTGAGCATAATCTTGATAAGATAATTTTCAACAAGTTTATAGAGAAGTAACTAGCCCAGTAAAAGCACCCTTTAACTTCAGACTTGGAAGGCCAGAAGACCTATTTTCCCACACCTAAATAAGTCACTTTGTTAATTCTTAAAATTAGGAAAATAGATACTCTTTTTCAAATTTCCTCTCTCTAGAGAGAGAGAGAGAGATAGAGATAGATATTCTTCTAAGTCTCATTTATTCTTTCTTTTTTTTTTCTTTTTCTCTTACTTTCAACCTCACTTTTTGCATCCCATTTCTGAAAAGAAATGTGGTTGGAGAAAAATAGAGTATCTACTAATTACCTATGCTGGGTGGATGGGGTAGGTTTTTTTTAATCCAAGATATAAGAGGAATGTCTATAATGGTATAAAAAATGTAATAGAAGTAAAATGAGAGTAGGAAAGGGAAAGTATTACTTAAGAAGATTAAATCTATGGCATAAAAGATGCATATCTTAAACTCTGCTCACCTATAAATGCACGAGAAGATGAGAAATATTAGAGAAAGATATCTCAGATTGGGCCACACTGGAATGGAAACAATGCTTAAAATATAAGACCTGGATATACACAAAAAAGCAGCTTAGTGTAATTCAAATAAATTTTATAAAAATAAAATTCATAGTATAAAATAAGGCAAATTATATATATATTAATATAATTTATATACTATAACAGCAGTAAAAGCAGTTCTAAGAGGGAAATTTATAACAACAAATACTTATAATAGCAACAACAACAAAAAAAGCTCAACAAATTAACTTTATTTTCAAAACAAAAAGCACAAACTAAGCTCCGAGTTAGTAGGAGAAAAATAACAAAAATTAGAGTGGAAATAAATAAAATTGAAACTGTGAAAAAGTGAAAAAGATCAATGAAAGGAAGAGCTCTTTAATTAAAAGGCGACTTAGAAAAATCTTTAGCTTTAGCCACACTTACCAGAAGAAGAAGAGGAAGAAGAGGAAGAAGTAGGAGAAGGAGAAGAAGAGGAGGAGGAGGAGGAGGAGGAGGAGGAGAAAAGAAGATAGAAGAAGAAGAAAAAGAAAGAAAAGAAAATAGAGGATGTTTAATAATTACAATTAGAAATTAAAGCAAAGACATTACACCCGATATACAAAAAAAAAAAAAAAAGCATAAGAGTCTGCTATGAACAATTGTATAGCAACAAATTGGATAACTAATTTGAAGAACTGGATAAATAGGAATTTATCCTATTTGTACATACAACGTACAAAACTAAACTTTAAAAAAATACAACTTACAAAGACTAAATTATGAAGAAATAAACACACAGCACACCAGAACTGAATCATGAATAAATGGAAAATCTGAACAGACTAAGTACTAGTAAGGAGATTTAATCAATAATCAAAAATCTCCCAACTAAGAAAAGCCCAGGACCAGATGGCTTCACTAGTGAATTCTACCAAACATTTAAATATTTAGTACCAATAATTCTAAAACTCTTTCAAAAAATAGAAGAGAAGGGAACACTTCCAAACTCATTTTACGAGGCCAGCATTACCCTGATACTAATATCAGAAAACAACACTGCAATTAAAAAAAAAAAAAGAAAAGTAAAGAAAAAAAATTACCGGCCAATATATCTGAGGAACATAGATGGAAAAATCTCAGTGAAAGTTAGCAAGCCAATTGCAACAATACAATGAAAAAATCATACACCACAATGAAGTGGAATTTATGCTAAGATAGCCAGAATGGCTCAACATTCACAAATGAGACAATGTGAAGAATAAAAATCATATAGTCATCTCAATAGATACAGAAAAAGCATTTGAAAAAAATTGACATTTTTTCATGATAAAAACCTGAAGCTGGGTACACGGGTATCACATTACCTCAACATAATAAAGGCCAGATATGAGAAGCCCACAACAAGCATCATATTCATCAATCAAAATTGAACAGCCTTTCCTCTAAGACCATGAACAAGACAACAATGCCTACCTTTACCATTTTAATTTAACATAGTACTGGGAGTCCTACTCAGAGTAGTAGGACAAGAAAAAGAAATACAAGTAATTAAAATCAGAAAGGAAAAATAAGACAGTCTCTACTTGCAGATGACATGATGGTATATATAAAACACCATAAAGACTCCACCAGAAAACTATTGGAATTAATAACTGAATTTAAAAAATTGTAGGATACAAAATCAATATTTAAAAAATCAGTTATTGGGACGCCTGGGTGGCTCAGTTGGTTAAGCAGCTGCCTTCGGCTCCTGTCATGATCCCAGCGTCCTGGAATCGAGTCCCGCATCGGGCTCCTTGCTTGGCAGGGAGCCTGCTTCTCCCTCTGCCTCTGCCTGCCATTCTGTCTGCCTGTGCTTGCTCTCTCTCTCTCTCTCTCTCTGACAAATAAATAAAATCTTTAAAAAAATATCAGTTATTTTATGTATACTACCAGCAAACTATCAGAAAAAGAAATTTTCTTAAATCCTATTTTTAATTGCATAAAAAAAGAGGAAAAAACCTAAGAATAAATTTCACCAAGACCTATATACTGAAAATTATAAGATATTGCTGAGAAATATTGAAGATACAAATAAATGAAAATATATTCCACGCTTATGGATTGGAAGAATTAATATTTTTTAGAATTTCCATACTATCTAAAGTTATCTACAGTTTCAGTGCAATCAGTATCAAAATTCCAAAGGCATTTTTCAAGAACTAGAACAAATAATCCTATCATTTGTATGGAATAACAAAAGATAGCCAAAGCCATCTTGAGAAAGAAGACTAAAGCTCATGGTATCATACTTCTGGATTTCAGGCTGGTCCGAGTGCAGTGGTGTTTACAATTAATTGATCATACTTCTGGATTTCAAACTATATTACAGAGCTATATATAGTAATCAAAACAGTATGGTATTAGCATAAAAACAGACACACAGATCAATGGAACAGAATGGCTAACTGAACATAATAAAATATATATAAAACAATGGAGAGCCCAGAAATAAACCAATACATATAGGGTCAATTAGTTTATAACAAAGAAGCCAAATACATACAAAGGGAAAAGACAGTCTCTTCAATAAATGGTGTTGGGAAAACTAGACAGACAGCCACATGCAAAAGAATGAAACAGGAATCATATATTACACCACACACAAAAATCAACTCAAATGGATTAAAGACTTGAATACAAAACCGAAAACCATAAAATTGGAAGAAAACATGGGGCAGGGGCGCCTGGGTGGTTCAGTGGGTTAAAGCCTCTGCCTTCAGCTCAGGTCATAATTCCAGGGTCCTCGGATTGCCTGCCCTGAGTCATCTCTGCTCAGCAGGGTGCCTGCTTCCCTTCCTTTCTCTCTGCCTGCTTCTCTGCCTACTTGTGATCTCTGTCTGTCAAATAAATAAATAAAATCTTAAAAAAAAAAAGAAAGAAAAGAAAACATGGGACAAACTGACACTAAAAGAAAAATAACAAAAGCAAAAATAGACAAGTGAGACTGTATCTAACTAAAAAGCTTCACAGCAAGGAAAACCATCAACAAAATGAAAAGACAACCCATTGAATGAGACATTTGCAATGAGAATGAGAATATTTGCAAATCTTATGTCTGATAAGATGTTAATCTCCAAAATATATAAAGAACTTAAAAAGCTGAATAAAAATTCCAATTAGAAAATTGGCAAGAAGCTAAATTTATATTTTTCCAAAGAAGATATCCATATAGCCAACAGGTACTTGCAAAGGTGTTTAGTATCACTGATCATCAGAGAATGCAAGGATATACTGCATATATGTTAGAATGTCTATCATCAAAAAGACAAGAGGTAATAAGTAGGGGCAAGGGGGTATTGAGAAGGAAACCCTTATGCAATGCTGATGGGAATGTAAATAGGCACCATCACTTATGGAGGCTACTCAAAAATTTAAATATATAACAGTCATATGACCCAGCAATTTTTCTTCTGGATAGCTATCTGAGGAAAACAAAAACATTAACTCAAGAAGATATAGTAACTTAGGCATGGAAATGACCTAAGGATCCATTGACAGATTTAGTGGATAAAGAAAGTATTATACACACACACACACACACACACACACACATATATTTATAATTATATTGTTCAGCTATAAAACAAATGGAAATCTTATCATTTATGACAACATGGATGGATTTTTTTTTCTTCATTTTATCATTTTTATTATGTTATGTTAATCTCCACACAGTACATCATTAGTTTTTGATGTAGAGTTCCATGATTCATTTTTGCATATAACACCCGGTGCTCCATGCAATATGTGTCCTCCATAATATGCATTACTGGGCTTACCCATCCCCCCACCCCGTCCCCTATAAAACCCTAAGATTGATTCCCAGAGTCCATAGTCACTTATGGTTCCTCTTCCCCTCTGATACCCTTTCCTCTCCTAATGTCCTCCATATTATTCCTTATGTTCCACAAATAAATGAAACCATATATTAATTGTCTTCCTCTATTTGACTTATTTCACTTTGCATAATCTCCAGTTCCAACCATGTTGATGCAAATGTTTGGTATTTATCCTTTCTGATGGCTGAATGAAATTCCATTGTATATATGGGCCACATCGTCTTTTTTTTTTTAATTAATTTATTTTTTATTTTTTTATGGATGGATTTTTTTTTAAATATTTTATTTATTTATTTGACACAGAAAGAGATCACAAGTAGGCAGAGAGGCAGGCAGAGAGAAAGGGGGAAGCAGGCTCCCTGCTGAGCAAAGAGCCCCATGTGGGGCTTGATCCCAGGACCCTGGCATCATGACCTGAGCTGAAGGCAGAGGCTTAATCCACTGAGCCACACAGGCACCCCTGGATGGATCCTGAAGGCATTATTCTAAGTGAAATAAGTCAGACATAGACAAACACCGTATGGTTTCACTTGTATGTGGAATCTGAAAAAAACGAACTCCCAGATAGAGGAAAAAGATTGGTAATTTTCAGAGGCACTGGGGATGTGGGGGCCGGGTGAGGGTCGATAGTTCCATTGAAGTCTTTAAGAAGATTATCTCGTTTTTCAGTAATGGTGAATTTTGGAGGTAATATAGTATAAATATGCTTTTTCCTTCCAGCTAATCCCTGCCTCTACTATGATGAATATAGTAACTGTAAGACACAAAAACGAAGTTTCGGATGTGGGTCCCAGTCAGTTCAACAATTCTGCAAAGCCAGTTGTCTCTGTGACAAGGAGATAAAATAATCTTGGTTATTTGCAGGTATAATGTGCTGTTGGGGAAATGTCCACTGGATTACATCTTTTACTTTACTTTGCTTCAGTAGTTTCTGCTAAGTTTCATTTGGTTTTAATTACATTAGAGATGCTAAATTTTACTAATCATATATGGGCATCCATAAATTACACCAATTCCACACACTCCTGTCCTGATACTTCCTGAAACAGGTTGACAAAATTCAACTGATGGTTTAACTGGCCACCTTGACAATAACCTCTGCTAGAGGAGGGTCCTTCCCCTGCTTCCCCATATCTCCAACCTTCCTGATGTTGTCTTCCCAAGAAGACAAGAAAACAAAAGGATCTAACCATCTTTGGACCCATTAACATTAACTTCTGTTTTACAACTGCAAAAAGAAGCTTTCAAAATTCCAACTAACCTGCAGTGTAATTTTTCATTCCATAACCTTATTTCTTTTTTAAATTGAGCAATAAAAAAATCCACAAAGCAAATGAAGAGTCAAGTATTACTACTTGCAAGGCAAAGTGCTTAATAGGAGGAGGCTTAAATATCTCATTGTTTTATTATTATATCTGTAAACATTTGTAAAGTGGGGGAAAATTGTGTTTCTTACATTAACAAAATATGTGCTCAGCACTGATTACATACAAAATGTAATGCATCTATAGAGGACATTGTATGCCTTATTCAAATGAAGACATAAATATTAGTGAGTCTGAATATTAAAGTAACCCGGAGAAGTGTATGACCACACAGAAATTCTAGTACCTGTTGTCTTGTTTTCAGTTTCAGGGCTTCCCCCCTCATGCCCCGTAATTATGTTCTTTCTTTCTAAGAGTTTATATAAACGAAAATTCTCTAGGTTCTCATCATTTGTCATGTAATTTATAAGAAGCAGTGGAGGAGCGCCTGATGGTCAGTTGAGCATCAGACTCTTGTTTTCAGCTCAGGTTGTGATCTTGGGGCTGTGGGATTGAGCCCAGGTCAGGTTCCTACATTCAGCAGGGAGTTGGCTTGAGATTCACTGTCCCTCTCCTTCTGCCCCTCCAGCTCATTCTCTCTCTCTCTAAAATAAATAAGCAAATCTTTAAAAAATAAGAAAGAAAAAAGAGAGAGAAAGAAGGAAGGAAGGAAGGAAAGAAGGAAGAGAGAAAAGGGGGAAGGGAGGAAAGAAAGGAAGAAATACGCAATAGAAACCAAGTTTTATTTCAAGGATGAAAATTGTTTGTGTGACACCCTTCTAAAATTTCATATGCTAAATATCTCCAAGGAAATGTGATATAAATTATAATGCAACTTGTTGAATGCTTCCTAACATTATTACTCCCATGACCAAAGCTTATCAGGTGAGTTTGTGCACAAGCAACACACTTACTCATAGAAAGAAATCTCATGCTAAGTTCAGAGTCACTGTCAGGGGAAGTGTCATGATTAGACTAAAGAGCTGGAACACATATGTGCATGTACGTGTGTGTGTGTGTGTGTACATTTACTAATACATGTCCACAAAACCCGTGAAGCAAAGATAGTAAAGTGCGGCATTGATGACAGATCTGATTAGGTTGTAAGGTTCACAGTGGAGAGCAAATGGGCACAAAAATGGATCCAGATTACAGGAAAACATGAAGAAAAGCCAGACTGAATGACTTTTATTTGATACCATGAGCAAAGATAACACACTCCTGATTCTCAATGATAAGAACTCTATATTAAAAACTGGGCTCTGTACAGATTTATATGGGGGCATGGACAATAGAACAATCCAAGATGTGCAGACTAACAGCTGGCCTAAATTTCAGGGATCATTGTGAATTTTCAAAATGTGCCCAAGGCTTAAATGTGCCCAAGGAACAGCATTGACATGAGCTTCTTTTCCCTAATATGGAAAGGCACCACTGTTCCCTCACCAGTGAGGGTATAGAGATCCCAGGGCAGTTCAGGGATCATATACCCTGAACCTTCGAATACTAGAGGAGATATGGTTTGTCTCCTACTCTTAGATTAGCCTGTAACTCTCTCAATTTCCCCAATGTATTAAGAAATGGAAGGAAAATTATTAGACCTAATTAAGAGATATGATAAACTGATAGAGAATATAAAAAACTTATAACAAATATTATATATTAAAAAATTAAAATATGCATGTCATTACTGCAAGTGTTCAAAATATGGTTAGAAGTACTTAACAAAGAATTAACAGGGGATTAAAAGATAAAGATTGTGATGCTAATTTTTAAAATTTTCAAAAACATATGATCACCCATGTTACTTTTATGTTATTCTATTAAAATTTATATTTAAATTTATTAGATAGTTTGTCAAGGAAACCAGATAAAAAGTCAACAATCAAAAAAGATGTTCCAGGGGCACCTGGGTGGCTCAGTGGGTTAAAACCTCTGCCTTCAGCTCAGGTCATGATCCCAGAGTCCTGAGATTGCGTCCCACATGGGGCTCTTTGTTCAGCAGGGAGCCTGTTTCCTCCTCTCTCTCTCTCTCTCTGCCTGCCTCTCTGCCTACTTGTGATCTCTGTCTGTCAAATAAATAAATAAATAAAATCTTAAAAAAAAACAAAAAAAAAGGTGTTCCAATACATAGGCAATATCTCCGTCAATGTTTCTTTTTACGAATTTATACTTTACCTACATTTGTATCTCATTTACTATGCGATCTTTCATTTTGAGTTTTTCATCTCAACTATTTTTTTATTTCCATTATTTCCAAGTGGTTATGATTTATAAACACTTGATTAGTTAATTTTCATTTTGTTTTTTTCTCTAATGATATTTGTTGTGTTTATTTTAAATGTGTACTGACTTTTCAATAATTCAGCTTCCTGAACAAATGCTCCATTGTTATCTTTCTCCCACAATACTAAAGGTAACTCAGATATACTGAAATTTTTGCCATGAATATATTTGTTAGTTTGAATTCTTAAGTCTGCAAAGATCAGATAGGTTTTTGTTCTCGATTTTTTCATGGTGTGTTTTGGTAGAGCTGGAAAAAGGCATTCAGTCTGAGGCTTTATGTTACAATCACTGGTCATCTGCTCCCCAATTATTTGCACAAGTCGATATTTTCCATCCTCAAAATAACACCTTTGCTCCTCTGTTCCATAACTTCTCCTCCTGGCTGCAACACTTTCAATTAAAAAGGACCAGAGGCTAACAGAACTAAGTATATTTATTGTTCTAGGTTCTTAGCTCCTTGGTCTCCCTGCCCCAGGCATGGTTTCAACACTCAACATTACTCTGTAATTGGCAAAGGAAGAGCAACACATATTTAAAATCTCTCTAGGACACTCATGACTAGGTACAGGTTTCTTCTTCTTCCTTTAATTTTGCAATTTCCTTTCATTTGACACCTTATTGTGCTGACTGCTCTGACATAAATTCCAGGTTTAGTTAGTACTGATCTAACCATCTTAGGATCCATCCACATTACTTCTGTTTTACAACTGCAAAAAGAGGCTTTCAAAATTGTCTTGTTTCTGTCATCTCAAGGGCTAGAGGAGGAACAGGAAAGAAGCATGTATTGTTTAAGTCTCTAATTTATAAGAAACTTTGTGTTTTCTGGCCATGTTTTCAGTATCTATATTTTTGTAGGATATTTCTGTTAAGGTTGTTAAAGTTAATTATCCTGTCCTCTTCATAATCTAAAAACTCTCAGACCTACTTAATGCTGGAAACACAAAGACATATAGTTTCATTCTTTGTCTTTCCTTTCACTAGACTTTATACTGACTACTACTCTCTTCTCCAAAATCTTTACATCTTCTCTATGGCAATGTTATATTCAACATGTTATAATGGATGAATCCACATTTTACATCACAGTGGGAAAATTAGTCAATTGAATACAATTATTTTTAGGATTCCTGGACCAAGTGCTGAAGTGGGGTAGGGGATTCCCTCAAATACAACACCTAACAATTCTCAGACACCACAGTGTCTCAACTCAATTTTGCCATTATTTACTTGAATGATTATCATATTTCCCAGGTAAAGGGTTCAGTCCTAGAAGCCTGCCACTCACCCCTAATTTCAGATGACAGAGGCAACCCATTATCTATTACCTGTGTTTCTTATCTACAAGCTACAAATTGTATGTTCCAATGACCTTCTTTTTAGGTTTGATTAATTTGCTAAGATCCCCATAGAGCTCAGGAAAACACTTAATGTTTCAACATCCAGGTGAAGAGTAACATAGGGCAAGGTTATGGACAAAGAAGCTTCTGTCCTCCTGGAACTTGGGTCCTTGGCTCAGTGACACACAGGAGTGTTCAGGTTCTCTAAACCTGAGAGTGCTTCAAAAGAGAACTACTAAAAAGCTTTCCCTCTGGGTTTTCTGGAGGCTTCATGAAAGAGGTCTGATTGTGGCCATTGGCTTATTTAACCTTCAGTCCCTGTCACTTCCCTGGAGGTCTCGGGGTGGGACTGAAAATTCCAACCTTCTAATCACCTAGTTGGTCCTCCAGGCAGTGAGACCTAAAAAAGTTTCTTTGGAAAGGAAACCTCATTAACATAACGAAAGACACCTTTCTCATTCCCAACACTTATGAAATTCCAAGTGTTTTGAGAACTGTGAACCAGAAACAGAGATGAACACCAAATCTATATTTCTTATAATAAATAAATCTTTATAATAATGAATAAATTTGATAATACATTATAAAATTTAGTATAATAAAGAATAATAAAGTTATTTAATGAAAAAACATATTTTATGCTATGCAGACCTCTAAAGAATAAAGCCTATCTATGATAGTGATAAAAAGATATGTTTTATGAAAACTCACTGAGAAATTACCTCAGTGACATTTTTCTATGATCTATGGGAAGTTGTAAACTCTTCAGTAATAAAAATTTATGTAAGAAAATAAGACTCCTGGGACTGGATGTTAGAAGACATTTATACACGCATGTTGAATTTAATTTCAGGGTTGTTTTTTTTTAAGTTTATTTATTTTTTAAAATAATCTTCACACCAATGTGGGGCTTGAACCCATGACCCTGAGATCAAGAGTCACAGGTTCTTCCAACTGAGCGAACCAGGCACCTTGATTTCAAGTTTTGATTAATCAATTTATTACCTTGTCTTATGATTTAAAAAAAAAAAATGTTTAACACATGAAAAAGTGCTCAACATCCCTTAGCATCAGGG